GTGCTTGAAGGCTGGGAGTTGCCATATAACACCTAGGACTCACTGGCTCCATCTGCAGATCGACAGGAAAGATTTGGTTTTCACCAAGGGCATGTCATCACAACTCTTCACACTTGTTCTGTTCTCCATCTCTTGCAGCTGCAGAAACTGCAGTCCTGTAGAGGTTGATCTGGGTGGGAGGATCGTCCAGGCCCAGCAGGGCAACTTCTGTGATGAACCCCAGACCTGCTACACCTACGACAGAGAGCAGTGCTACAGCTCCCCTGTGCCCTTCCTGTACCAAGGGGAGGTGAAACGTGTCCCAGCAGCTCTGACACCGACATCCTGCTATGCTGATTAGGTGAACCCCTGCTGTGCTGAAGCCTGGCTGCACTCCCTGTTCCCATCCCAGATACAGGTGTAGCACCATAGTACCCGGGTGACAGAGTCCCAAATACCAGTCCCTACAGCAATGCCAGCTTGCCTCTCCTTATTTTCAGCATCAGCCTAGTGCTATCTTCCAAGAACAGCTCCTGGTTGTCATCAACTCTGTTCTCATATCCCTGGCACATACCTGCAATTCCAGTACATGTCTCAGACATGATCACCATATAGACCAGATATAAATCAGTGATCCCCTTGAAGCCAAGGGAACCACACTGATTAACAGCTCTGGGGAACCTGTCCTTGACAGTCTCCTGTGTGTCTCCACCTGAGCAAAGCTGCCACAGACATCAGCAGGAATGTCTGTGCCCTTCCCGAGCCATCTAAAGCAAACCTCTGCAGTCTCTTCATGCAAGACCTTTGATCATGTTAGCAGGATTTGTGCCACCCTTAGAAGGCTGTTGTACAACCGTATTTTAGGGACGGGAGTTCACATTTCAAAGTTACTTTAAAATTGATGATCCTAGACCCTTCCAGCACTTGGACATCTGCAAGCTTTTAGTTCTCACAGATTCAGAGAAGATCAAAAGATGCCACTACCCTGAAGTGTTTTGCAAAGTTGCCAAGACCTCAGCTGTGCCAGGAAAAGCCAACTCTTCCGGGAGCTGTTGGGCAGTTCACTTCCCATGCTGCTTCACTGCTGCTGCTGCCTTCTTCCACCCCTGCTCCCACTGGAATTACTGAAAAAAAAATTCAACCTGGCTCAAGTTGCTTTTCTTCCTCGCTTTGCATTTAAAGCTTAAAAAAAAAAAATCTGTGAAGGAGGACATGAAGTGCAAGAGCAGAACCCTGGTTTGGGATTCAGAATTGAACTAACAAAATAGCAAAAACCTTATTCCTGTAGTTGTAGCTTTGTTAGTGAAATATTCAATAAAATTTTGTCTGCATCAGTCTGTGTGTTCTATTTCAATAGAATAAGAAGACATGAGACACAGCCAAGCCAATAATCATATTCTTTTCTCCTTCACAAGGAATTAAACTCTCCCTAAATAACTGCTTATACTTACAGGCAAAGTATCCCAAAATCTCAGAATAGAAATATTTCCATGCACTTGCAGAAACCCTGACAGATTGGGGCTGAACTGGTTTATCATTATCTGCATCACCGAGCTGCTTCAAGGCCCTGTGAGTCAGGGCAGGATCAGAGTCTCAAAATCCAAACAGCACTTAAAATTACTGTTGAAATTGCAACCCACAGATCATATATTTTCCTCACCCCTGGAAAAGTGCCTTTAAGACAAGCAAGTTAGGAAACAGTCATTCATATATAAGGTGTCTGTCCTCAAGAAAAGACAATTTTCTGGGGGCCAAGTTTTAAAGAGAAAAGGGGTAAAAAGGACAGAGACAAATTATTCTGAGGTTACATCACTCATAGAAAATGAACATTTGCAAAACATGATTTTTCCCCTCAAGTAAACCAGTTAAGAAAAGCCAAATATCAGGGGAGGCAAAGAGCCTCCTGTCAGGCACTGACACAGCTGTACCCATCGCAGTGGATAGGTACTAAGCTCACCAAAACTTGCCTCAAAGACATTTTCACCTACAGAATCCTGGTGTTCCCCAGTCTCAGAGTACTGTGATGTTACAAGTTAGCAGGTCACCACGAGGCTGCATTTCATCCCCCGCAGGAACTTAACCTTTGCCCTCTGGAATTTACTTCAAGTGTAGTAATAAATATAAGCAAATTTTTTACTCTAAAACTGAACTGCAACATGCACCTTCACTGCAAAACTTATTGAAACAAAACTTGAAACATATTTTTAGGTTAGGTAGAATTAGACATTGGATTGGTTACTACTCAGCACATGGTGGTTTTGACCATTAAAAAGTGACTTGCAAGAAGTTCCTCCCTTCAGAGCAAGGCCACAACAAGCAAAGCTGAGGCTGAATATCCCCCAGTGCCACCCAGATTCCTGACATCAGCACCACTAGCCGGGACTGTTCTTCTCCCACAGGACCTGCAAGTGACTGAGCATTTCTTAAGCCATTACTGTAACATCTCCCTGTTCTGATGAACAACAACACACAACTCCTGTGCCTCAAGCCTGTAAATAATTTATGAGTCACAATCCAGAAATAAGTATTTCTGTTGGACTTAAAGACGTGCCCAGGGTTTTTTTAAAGGAAAAGAGCACTAACCCTCTTCTTAATTAGAAAATTAGAAGTATGAAGTCCAGAAAGACAAACTCCCTATAGTAACAGAAGGCTAAGAATTGACACTATTTAAATGAAATGCTGGCAATAAAATATACTAAATGAGTTCAAGGAAAGCCTCCCAGACACTGTGAAAACTCAAACTCTACAGCTCTTGTCTGAATAGAAAGAAGGGGGCTGACTACAGCAAAGGCAAAACAGAGCCAAGACCCGCCCATGATACAAACAACCACAACAAAAACAAAGGAAGCCTTTTAGTCTACAACATAGCCAAAAATGTTTTTCACAAACGTCATCATTAAGGATATTAATTAAGTCTCTCTAGTCATCACAAAGATACAATATGCTTTCTATCTTGCTTACAAAGCAACATAAAGAGGTAAACTTACACTTCTTACCTTAAAGTGAGCAAGCAACCTCCCTGAGGAACATCCACACACCCCACCACCATTAAACAGAGGTAGTAAAGCCCATCTGTCCTGAGTTTAAATATTCTTGGCCTAATTAGCTGGTAGAAATCAGACCAATCAATGTGCAGGGGGCAACAGGCTCAGGGTATAAAAGCTCAAACCCAGGCCTTGCTTTCTTCTGTGTTGGAGCAGTGAGGATGTGGTAAGATAACTTTTGGGTTTTGTAATAAGAATGGGTTGCTTAATTTATGGGCTTCTTTTTTCTGATGTTACCTGAAAGTTAAATTGCTTTTAAAAGAATAATTTTATAATGCTTTCTGACATAGTTGTTAAGTTCTTTGGTGATTTAGGGTTGCAGGTTTCTTCAGTAAAAGTTTTTTTAAGAGTTTATGTAACTGGTTTGTATTGTAAGTGCTATAAGAAGGGTTCTACTGTGTACTGGTTGCTTAAGGAAGAATAGATTTGCAGTATAAAAGTTGGCAGAGCTTTAAAGAAACTGGTTAGCAAGATAATTTCTAATTTCAGTATGTTTGTATATGGCTGAAGTGAGTTGTTAACTTTTCTAGCCCTTTCAGTAGCTGTTGCAGAAACAAAAGCTATAGTATTGCTCCTTTGGAAGTATTAATGACTTATAGTTTATTTAAAGAAACCATGGAACAAAACAACCTCACCCATACCAAAGCTATAAGTAATTAATATAATGTGGTTACTCCTCACTTTTAGTGGAAGTGTTATACTGAAGTCAGTGACTTACTTCCCTGTTGAAGCAGTTTATTGCAAAGCTTACAATTTTTTCTGACTACCAAGCTGAACACCTCCTGTGTAGTGGTATTTTGGGTGTATAAAACTTTGGCTTAAAGGTGTTGAGGTAAGGTTTGACCAGTGAAGGTACAGGATGAAGTGAGTTCCTCAGCTATGTTTTTTTAGGGCTGGGCCAAAATGTTGACTACAGTAGAGCTGCCTGGGAGCAGAGGCTAAACAGATCCAGATGCTAATGAAGGAACTAATTAATATCTGGTGAGATAAATACATTAAGTGGTCACTTAATTATTTTGGTAAGGGAGAGCTTATTTTTGTTCTATGCAGTTGGTAACAGCCCACAAGTTCTGCTCTTACCTTTGCAGTCATTTTGCCCTCCCCTTGAGACCAAAAGCAGGTGTTTGGCAGCTCTGTAGGTGTGTAAGGGAGGATGTGCTCTTCATGCTCTAATGGGTACAGGAAAGCCCAAACTCACTTGAACCAGGTGAACCTGCTAGTAAGTATGTGGCTACATGTGGCTGTGAGATTCTTACCAGCATAATAAAAAGTCTTTCAGTGAGGTGAGTGTTGGCTGACATAAAAGGAGAAGTATGTTCATGTTTTTCAGACTGTGCCGTGTCTGAGTCCTGATGTTTTTCTGATATTTACTATATGGCTCTATGGAAGAGGAATGATTGCATATAATTTATTTAATAGCATTTACTAATTGTATAAAGGAATATAAACCTGTTCCTACAGTGTAAATAAGCAGTTAGTTTAAAACACTATAAGCTATGCAAATGAAGAGCTCTGCTTTCTGTTATCTTGACTGGAAGTTTAACTCAGAAAAGATGAAGCTAGAATAAACTTCTTGTCCTAACTGATGCTTCCTTTTTGATGCTCCATACTTCTATAATGATTATTTGAGATCTATGATGACACAGCTTCCCTGAAGCAGCTGGGAAGGGAGGAAGAGTGGAAGTATTAGCTGTGCTGAAGTGACAAGGTACAAGTGCTGGGGAGAAATCCCTGGAGAAGCCGTCCAGAGGCAGCTATGGTCAGTCCCCTTGGTTGGCGTTGTGTTTAATCCCAGAGGTCCCCCCTCAGGCCTTGGCCCCGCTGGGAAGGGGTTCCAGCAGAGCTCCTTCCCCGGGTGCCCTCGCTGAGCGCTGCCGGGCGCTGCCCGCGGAGGGCGCTGTGCAGGTGCGCGCCTCCCGACGAGATTTGTCCCCCGGCGGTGCCCGTCGGGGGGCGGGCCAACATGGCGGCGCCCGGCCGTTCGCTCACGTGTCCCGGCAGTGCCGGCGCCGCGCAGACATGTCGGGCCGCCAGGGCAACAAACTGCCCAGCAACCTGCCCCAGCTGCAGAACCTCATCAAGAGGGACCCCACGTCCTACACCGAGGAGGTACGGAGCGCGGGGAGACGTTTGGGGAGGCCAGACTGGGCTGTGGGCTGTGGAGGGGGAGACACGGGTGGGTGTTGCTGGCCGCGCTCACCCATTCCCTGTGTGTGCTCAGTTCCTGCAGCAGTACCACCACTACCAGTCCCATGTGGAGATCTTCACCTTCCAGCCGGACAAGCCCAGTAAGGAGCTGGCCGAACTGGTGATGTTCCTGGCGCAGGTAAGCCCACGGCGCCCACCCCTGCGCCAGTGCCTGGGGCTGCGCGGCGGCGGGGGCAGCCTGGCTTAGGTATGGGCTTAAGTGCCTGTTATTGGTATGATACGAACACTTACAATATTCCTGGTTGTTTACACCTTGCCAGGTGTGCCCTAGAGCGTTACCCTGCCTCTCCCTTGCAGGTGGCCCACTGCTATCCCGAGCACATGGCCAACTTCCCGCAGCAGCTGAAGGAGCTGCTCTCCTACCACCACACAGTGCTGGACCCCGACCTGCGCATGGTGAGACCACCCTGGGGCACTCCCTGCCCGAGGGTAACACATCCCTTGGTGTCAGCTGAGAGCTTAAGGATTGCTTTTCAATTGGTATGGAGACTAGAGAGCATTTTGGTAGTTTGGTTTCTCTTCTAGACGTTCTGCAAGGCCTTGATCCTGTTGAGGAACAAGAATCTAATAAATCCTACAAGTTTGCTGGAGCTCTTCTTTCAGCTGCTGCGGTGCCACGATAAGCTGCTACGAAAGGTAAGCTGGGCTCATGGTCTTCTTTGTTTCCAGGGTGTTTGGACCAACTTGCCAGAAGTATTTCCACAGTAAGCAGCTCCACTTTACTTGGTAATAGAATAAATTAGCTCTGATTTTTGCTGGTTGGTGTCAGAGGAGGGGCTGCAGCTCTGTGTTGTGCTGCTGTAAACACCCTGACTTTGCCATTGCAGGCTCTAGGCCTGTCCTGTGTTTGGATGGAGCAGCTTGGGTGTGTCTGCAGGTGAAAACCATAAACTGGTCACTGTTGGTGCTGCCTTTGCTCAGTTGTGTGTCAACCTCTGAGTAAAACAATTACAACCAAACCAGCTGCTGCTGAAAGCTGTTAGAGGCTTTACTGCCATGAAAGGGAGAACACTGTGCCCCTAGTTTGGTTATCAGAACAGGCCTAAAGGAGGCAGAGTGGGATTTCATTCAGCAATCCTTGATGCTAGTCTTGCCTTGCGGTACTGTGAACTAAAGACACTGGTTAAATATGTGAAGAGAGTTCAAGTGAGACTTTAACTTGCTGTTGTTGTAGTTGCAGCCTGGAGTTATGTGCTCAGTGGTGGTGAGTTGGATCTCACTTTGGTCCTTGGGGACTGTGAGGGCCCAGTAATGTCTGTTCCTTGCATGACCTGTGTTGCTCCCTGTCATCTCTCCTTTACAGACCTTGTACACTCACATTGTGACAGACATCAAGAATGTCAATGCTAAGCACAAAAACAACAAAGTGAACACGGTAAGTGATTGGGCTTTCACTTGTACTTGGATTTGACCTTCTGCTCTTGTGGAGCATTTCTAATAAAGTGTTTGCAACTTTTTTTTTAGACACTGCAGAACTTCATGTACACAATGCTGAGAGACAGCAATCCCACTGCTGCCAAGATCTCTCTGGATGTGATGATAGAACTTTACAGAAGGAACATCTGGTAGGTCTGGCAGGCTTGTGTTGATTCCAGGATTTGTTGTGGGGCAGATGGGCATCACTTTGTAGTCCAAAGCAGTCCAGGGGACAGGGACATAAATACATATGTATTAATTGTGGCCCAGTGGGGCTGTATTCTGTGCCAAGGATTAAGCTGAGAAGAAATAATGTCTTGTGTGAAATGAGTTACTTAATTTGAATATGTGATGAGAACTAGTTTTCTGAGAACAATGTGAAATGGCAAAACTTCAAGTAAAAGGTGCTGTTTCTTTTTACTCCAGGAATGATGCCAAAACAGTCAATGTCATCACAACTGCTTGCTTTTCCAAAGTAACCAAGGTGAGAACAGAAATTACTTGATGAAATGGGATGTTACTTCATATCTTCTTCCTGTGGATGTAGCTTAATATTTTATTGCAAACAAACTTCGCTGACTTCGTTTTAAACTTTCAAAACAGCACTTGTGGGAGGAGGCAGAGCTTGGCTCTTAAGTACAGAGAAGCAGAACTGGCAGCTTATCTAGTAACAAATGCAGGCTGGAATGGGGAGGGTGGGTGCATGTTCCACTGCTGTTCACAAGAGACTGTTGAAATACCACCTGCTTGAAATGAGCATGCTGTGAGGCTTTAATTAGTTAAAAATGAGGAGAGGAGCCACCTGCCTGGGGCCTGAGTGAATATTGGGCCTTCTGTGCTGATTCAGGAGGCTTTAAGAAACTTTTTCCATAGTTAAAGTTTTTAACCTGTTAAGGTCTAAAAGCTGTTCTGCTAAATAAAAGCCAACCAACCAAAACTACAATAAAGCCATATAAAGTAATGCAAGTTTAGAGTTATGAATATTATATCTTGGGTATCACCTGTGTAAGGGCTTTTAACAATGTTGACATGAAGCAATTAGTGCGATGGCTTTGCAGGATAATAGAGAACTTGCATCTGGGCATTTGCTCCAGGCATTGGGGGAGCCCAGGTGTGACTGAGTGCCTCTAAGTGATGATGGGCAGTGAAAATGGTCTGGGTCTGTAAAACACCTGTGGCTTCCAAGCTGTCCTTCAGTTTTTCTGATCAAATCCAAGCCTATAAAAAACTGGATGAGTCTCTGCACAGCCTGAGATGTAGGTGTAGGGTGGTCGTGAATACTCCTGTCAGCTTGTCCTGTCCCACATGAGTTCAATTGGTTTTTCAGGTGTTAGTTGCAAGTTTGAAGTTCTTTCTTGGGAAGGATGAAGATGAGAAACAAGATAGTGACTCAGAATCTGAGGTGGGTGTTATGATCAGATCTTGTTTTCTCTATTCTTGAGACATTTAATAGGTCTGTCATCTTAGTGACCCTGCCCATCTGTCTGCTTCTCTGTTGCTTTGTTTTCTCCACCTAGTTTTCTCCAGGTTTTTCTGTGCTTCACACCAAGTTCAGTGTCTGACAGGTGGCTCCAGGAGGCAGGATGCTTTACCTGTCTGTTAAAAGACAAATGCCAAGAGCTCCTTTGCTTTTCTCTGTAAATACTGTTACCTGTGTGGTGACACTAAGGAAGGGGGGGAGAGTTCTTAAATATAGTATGTGCTCCTGAAAAATATTGATAGTTTGTTTCTCTGACTGCCATTTGAAGCCTGGCATCAGCTGAGCCTTGTTTCTCTCTTTGCCAAGGACGATGCCCCCACAGCCAGAGATCTGATGATGCGCTATGCGACCAACAAGAAAACCACCAAGCGCAAGAAGAAATTGGAGAAAGCCATGAAGGTCCTCAAGGTGAGGAGAGGGGTGTCTGACTTCACAGTGTTTTAGCTTAATCCATTAAGTGCAGGAGTTGTGCTGTTGCCCCTGCTGGTTTAGCTGCAGGTGGCAGAAAATCCCATGCGGTTTCAAAGAGGGAGAGTTTTTAAAATCTAAGTGTCTCTTTTTTGAAGAGGCATCTTTAGACAGCAACCTTAAATCTGAAGCACTTTCCTCATGAAAAAAGAAGAATGTCTCTTACTCTTTTCCATGCAGAAACAGAAAAAGAAGAGCAAGCCAGAGGTGTTCAACTTCTCTGCTATTCACTTGATTCATGATCCCCAAGGTGAGCGTGCACTGCATTTCCTCTTATTGCAAGTCTGTGTTAATCTCAGATGGTAAAGCTCGGACACAGCTCTACCAGGAGAATGGAAGTGGTGAGTAGGTGCAGATGTGACACTTAAAGTGTTTTATCTTAGTGTTTCACTGCACTTTAAGAGAGTGAGATGAGTCCTGTTCTGCTTGTTTTAGTGGAACGCAGGGAGGGGAGACAAGAAGGGAGGAATCTTATCTACTTTGGGTTGCTATATATCAGAATGTAGCTCTCTGCTTCTCTTGCATGTGTGAAGGCCATAATTTGGGGAACACCAGCTTACCTACCAAGCTTCTTTGGCTTACTCCCTTTTACACAGTATTTCTGTTGTTAGCCTGATACTTGTCTAACAGCACTTGATTGTGTCTTAGTTGGATGTAGTGAACTTTGGGGGATTTTGTTTTTCAGATGGGCCCAAAATATAGTTAAAAAAATCCAGCTTTAAACCCTGTGCTTATGATGGGGAATGTGTGCTAGTTTTCCTCTGAACCTGTGCACAGTTTCAGCACTGTCAGGCGTGTGAGAAGAAAAATAACCCACTGGGAGAAGTGCTTTGGCCACCTTGAATTTCTCTATGCAAAAGGCACTGTGGTTTGAAAGCAATCAAAACTGACTGCCTCTTTTTACCCTAATCCTAGTTGAGTTGTGATCTCTTGGACTACTACAGATTTGTTAATACTCTTTTAGACTTTGCTGAGAAATTGCTGAAGCAGCTGGAGAACTGCAAGGAGCGATTTGAAGTGAAGATGATGCTCATGGACCTGATATCCAGGCTGGTTGGAATACATGAAGTATGTACCTGGATTTTATAATGGTCTGCTGGGTAGCCCACCTGGCTTGGGTGGAGGCATGTGCTGGGCTTGTGCCTCAGGGAAATGAGGTTTAATTCTTCTGTATATCAATAAGTCAGATGGATGGTCAGGTGGTTGCCAGTAGGCCTCATGGAACAGCACGGGGTGTTGACTTGTGTGGCACTGAGCAGGGGGTTAGTCTGGAATTGCTGAGCTATCCCTAAAGAATAGGCAAGAACTTGTCTCTTCCAAGACCTTCCTGGGAAGCTGCCCATGCTGACCACAGTCAGTGTCAGTCAGGTGGTGCTGAACAAGGTGGGAACTGGCAGCTCCTGCACTTGCAGGGGTTTGTGCTGACTGCCCAGTGATAGAATACTTGCATTGTATGAAGTGAAGAGTAATTCAGTCCAAGTTGGGGGGGGGTCAGAGGATAAAAAGATTTCAATGCAAAGAAGTGGGTGCAGAGAGGCTGAGCTGTGTTTATCCGAGTACAAGTCATTTCCTTAGCTCCACAAATATCAAACTGAACATAGGAGACAACATCATGCCATGAAATCTTAGGCATGTGAAGAGCATGCTACAGAATGAGATTAAACTTGAGATCACCTTCATAAGCTGATAATGTAATAAAACAAAGACAAGAATATAATGTCACAACTTCTTTTGCAGCTGTTCCTTTTCAACTTCTACCCTTTCGTTCAGAGATTCCTACAGCCCCATCAGAGAGGTAAGTAGCTACTTTGTACTACTGCTGATCCATGTCTTGTGCAGTCATTTCATGGAAGTGGTGCTGTAAGTGGACAGGTGGCAGTGGCTTGGAGGGAAGTAAGAGTAGTACAGAGTGTAGAAGATGGAAGTACAAGTCCCTGACTGTGAGAAGTGCTGAGTAGTTTGTAGTTCTTTGAAAGCTGTGTACACTCAGGGCTTCTTATTTGAGAAACTTCAGCAATGGGATAAAATGGATCTGAGTCCCTAGTCCTGACCAGCTGAGCAAAGCATGGCTGCCTCTTGCTGCATCATTTTATAGATGTTTGACTCTAGTTGTGGAGCCTTTGCCTTTGGTGGCCCCTGAGGGCCTGTACTGCTGTGGGTGGAGGCCAGAATTGTTCCCAAGGCTTGGTGGGAGAGGAGAAATAGTTGTCCCAAATAACTTCAAACTGGAGTGGCTTTGGGACTGCCTGAGCAAGCAGCTTGTTGAGTTTTGGCAGATGTGTTTATAGACCAGAGGAAGGTGCAGCAATACATTTTGGTATCTTCCCACTTCTCTTCCAGAGGTGACAAAGATCCTTCTGTTTGCTGCACAGGCTTCACATCAGCTGGTACCACCTGAGGTCAGTATTCCACCTGTTTGATGCTAAATGGGCAGCAGACCAGCATGGAAATAGGAGTGTATTTGTGGGGAGAAGGGGAATCTGGGCAGACTGTTTGGAAAAGCTGATGGTAACTTCAGGCTATTTTTGCAAGTTCCAAGGTATTGTTTCATATAAAAGGGGGGAAAAACCGAATATGCTTGTCTTACTTTCTGCAAGAGAACTTGTGTCCAGAAAATAATTTTGGACTGTAGTGACATATCCTGACCTCTGTCTTAATGATGTCTAAGCTTTTATTCAATGTGCATTCTTTTTTCAGATCATTCAGTCGGTGTTGATGACCATTGCCAACAACTTTGTCACTGACAAGAATTCAGGGGAGGTCATGACTGTAGGGTGGGTACAGGATCATACAAACATCTTGAACTCTGACTATGATAAAATGTATTTTGTTTAAACCACTTGCAAGCTATTCCTGTTACTTTTACTATGCTTTCAAGAACCTGCTGGAGTAAAAACAAATTAGGATAATATCTCAGCTTAAACTGTGTATTTTTGTGGAAGTATTCTACAATGGCTTTCTATTACACTAGGTTTGTATAAATCTAGTATAGGATTCCTTGAGTTTCACATAATTCAGTCTCCTGGTAGGATTTTGTCCTAACTGGTGTGAGAAAATGATTAATTCTCAATTCTTTTAGAATCAACGCAATAAAAGAAATCACTGCGAGATGTCCTTTAGCCATGACTGAAGATCTGCTCCAAGACCTCGTTCAGTACAAGACTCATAAAAATAAAAGTAAATATTACATTGATATAATTTTAAAGTATTTTTTCTCTTGTATTTTGTGCTCCTCTTTTATAGCCTTTGTAATAGTGTTGTCTTAATGGGTTTTTATGGGCTAAGAGAACACTTGCAGTATTTGGGTTATATTGCTGTATTTGGAGTGTGTATCCATGGGAGGCAAAAGTCATGAGTAGTTATGGCAGGGGAAATAACTGACCAAGATAAAAAAGGAAACGGATTAAGGCCAAGCCCTAAGGAAGTGCTGTGTTCAGAGAAGGCTGTACGTGCTGATGACCTGAGTGGGCTTTGTTTGCTCAGAATTCTGGTTTTTGGTACTGACTCCTGACTCTGTTCCTGGGTAGATGTGATGATGTCTGCCAGAACTCTGATACACCTGTTCCGCTCCCTGAACCCAGAGATGCTGCAGAAGAAGTTCAGGGTAAGTATTTCGTGTGCATTGCATTCACTGGGAACTGAGGTGCTCAAAAATAACTGGTCTCAGTGGCCTCTTGAGAATGAGGTGGAGTCCAGCCTGTGTTCTTCCCCTCCCTGCTACCTTTGGACATGGTCTGCTCTTATTTCCTCTTTCCCTTAGTTCAAATTGATCTAACTCATGGATAGATTGTGGTCCAGAAGGTGAGCTCTTTGGCTAGAGTTCTTTCAACTTCAGTAATTAAGATCTTTATTTCATCAAGCAAAATTTATCTTTTTCCAGCCACACCCTCCCGTTCTGCTAGATATTTTCATGGATTTGTGGGCACTAAAATAGCAGCCTGCTCAATGTATTTTTTTTTTTTTTAATGTACAGGGTAAGCCTACTGAGGCCTCGGTGGAAGCCAGGATCCATGAATATGGAGAACTGGATGCCAAAGACTACATTCCAGGAGCAGAAGTACTGGAGGTTGAGGATGAAAAGGAAAAGGGAGGAACCCAAGAGGAAGGTAGGCCTTTTTTTTTTCTTTTTTTTTTAATTGTATTTTGGGCATCACTATCAGTAAGATTTCATGTAACACTTTGTGTTTGTGCATTTCATTTTTCTGCCTTCCTGTGTAGCTTGCACTTCCCTGTACCCTTGAAGTGCATTAGTGGGGTGTTGCTGTTGTGCTTTATGGGATGGAAAAGCAGAGACACGTTGTACAGCTATGAAACATCCTATGTTTAGCTCCTGCTGAAGAGATGTTGTTGAGAATTACCAGACACTGAAACAGCACGAGGAAGTAATATGTGACTTAAACTCACTTTCTGTGCAAACGCTTTACGCAACCTGGAGCACCCACCTGAATGAGGGAAAAGAGATGGAGGAGTCTTTGAAAGCAAGGCAGAGTTTGGGAAATGAAGCCAGAGTGCTTTGGAGATGTTGCAGGGGAGGTGACGAGAGGAATAAATGCCCTGAGATGCCATGCTTCTTAGGCACAAGAATGCAGTGATTAGTGTAACAATCTGCTTGGTTCTGAAGGTGGTGACTTCAGCACTTCAGTCAGAACAGCAGCAAAGAGGAGCAACACACACAGTGTGTAGTAAGGTAGCTATAAAGCACATTCAGATAGTTGAGTCCACGTTAACTGGTCTATATTTCTTCCCTGCAGATGGCTGGGAAAGTGCTAGTCTGAGTGAGGAGGACAATGAAGATGGAGAATGGATTGATGTGCATCACTCCTCAGATGAGGAGCAGCAACAAGTAGTGAGTTGCAAGTCCACTGTCTCAAATATACAGTGGTCTTGGTAATTGCAGACAAGATTCTGATGCTCTATACTTTTATGTGGCTGCTCATAAATAATTATACAGGGGTTCTGTGTAACCTGTGCAGGAGAAATGAGATTTGAATACTGCTTAGTACTGTGCTGAGGTACATACCTTGGGGGGAGAAGGGGGAATGGTGTCTCAGAGCTGTGATATTTATGTGAGTGCTTGTACTTATCCTAAAATAGGGTATGTATGTCATCTATTCTAACACTAGATGTTGGATATAAGACTAAGAGGAGTCCTAACAGCTGGTTGTAGCATTTCCCAACAATACTACCCTTACATGCTAAATATTTGGAAGGTAAGGGTCATAGATGGTGGCACAGAAGTGGCTGGCCAAGCTCTAGGTGATTGTTTTGTACGTGTTTCTTTTCCCAAGGCAGAGAAGGTGAAAAGCATGCCCATAGAGGAGCGGAAAGCCAAAGCTGCAGCAGTCAGTACGAGCAGGCTGCTGACTCAAGAAGACTTCCAGAAAATACGTCTTGCCCAACTTTCTAAAGAAATAAATTCTGCACCTGGCAAAGCTGCAAAGAGGAAATACATTGAAATAGATGATGAAGAGGAAGAGGGCAGGTAGGATATGGACTGTCATCTGGTGAAACAGCATTTCATTGTGTCAGGGTACAGAGCTCTACTGTTGATCAATATTCCCTGGAGACAGGTAGCAAACAGCTGTGACGTAGAATGGATCCTGGCTCAGCATTGGACCTGGAAGAAAAGATATGAGGGGCCTATGGAAGGTCTGAGCCTGTTTGGCTTGTTCAGGCCAAGAGCAGTAGCAGTAGTTGCATGGTTATTTCTCCAGAGCTTGTGAAACTGTGGATAAAGCGGGGCTTTAAAAACAGTAATGGCAGCTTTTGAGGGGGATGTCCCATGCATGAGGAATAACCTGAAAGAGAACAAAAAGTTTGTGCCTGAGTTTATGATAAGACAGTGGTTTAAGAAATGGGTTAGAGAGCAAGAGGGCATCTTGTTTTCCTTGCCAGCTGAAGTTTTGTGGGTGGTGACCTTTTTGCTGGATTTCTGTTTGTGTAGGGGGGAGTTGCTTTCACTCAGAGATATTGAACATCTGCATAAGAAGCCCAAGTCAGACAAGGAGACCAGACTGGCAACTGCAATGGTGAGGAACTGGGATGTTTTGTGTCTTGTCTTTGCAGATTCATATTTGCCTTCTGCAGAAAGAGGGGGTGTTGGGGTTGCATCTGTAAGATGGATGCCCAGCTGATATTTGGGTTTTGAGAAATGATCTCAGTTTTTTGCTGTTGCACTTTGGCTGCAAGAAACAGCCTCTTGCTGGTCACAGGTGACCATGAAAGTACAAACACACCCGACTTTGACTGTGACTTAAGAAATACAGCCAGCGTAGGAGAATGCAGGTGTGGACACAAAGACATCCTAAATCCAAGTTTATTGTTACTGCCATAGAACCTGTTACCATCAGGCAGCTGATGTTGACTGTGGGGAAGCAAAATCAAAGTGACCTCATGTTATTCTAAGACAATGTTTATTCTAGGCTGGAAAAACAGACAGGAAAGAATTCGTGAAAAAGAAGACAAGAATTAACCCCTTTGCCAGCTCTTCCAACAAAGAGAAGAAAAAGAACAAGAACTTCATGATGATGAGATACAGCCATAGTGTCCGGACCAAGACCAAGCGTTCCTTCAGGGAGAAACAGGTAATGATTAGTGCTGGAAAAGGATGGGGCTGTGTGAGCTCAAACTCAAAGTGCAGCTGTAATGCTGTGCACTCTGTATCCTGAGGTGTTGCTGCTAACTTGGGTGGTGTAATGGCTGCAAAGCCTGTGGGCTTGGCTTCCCTGAATCATGCCCCCGAGGAGGAGCTGTATTGGAGACTGTAGTGAATCTTTTTGGCAGGCTCCTCTAACACATTTTGAGGTGCAAGCCCTGTTGGAGAATCAAGTGTAGGTTTGGAAGGTTTTGCTTTCCTTTACATGCATTGAAGATATCATAATAGAATCCTGAATGTAATTCTGTGATAGAAGGAATGTTTCTCTGGTATGGAGTTCTTTCTAAAGGCAAGCTTTTTGTGTGTTTCTTCACTCTCCATAGTCTTTCTTTGACCTTTGTCCTGTTACTATTGTGTTATGAACTCATCTGTCCTGGCCTTGAGGTCATCTAATAGCTTGTCACAAATAGCATTTATAGCTGTTCTTTAAGGACATTTATTGCCACCTGAAGCAAGCTGGGAAAAATAAATCAATTCAGCAGTAGTTTGACTAATGCTGCTCTCAGTGGTGAGGCCCCTGCCAGTCCAGGGTTTCACAAGGTGTTAGTAAACTGAACTCATCCAGGCATGTCCCACAAATTTGTAGAATAATCCAGTTATGTAGTTGTCTTACATGTGTTTTTTTTTCTCCTTGCTAGTTTGTCTTGTTAGTGCTTTCAGAGGCTTCTTTTGTGATGTGTTGCAGGATCATATCATTTGGAAAATGTGTATTGGTTTGCAATTTGTTGCCTTGAGAATGGCAAGACTGTAGCTGTCTATAGACTCAGTAGAGAATGTCTTAAGTGTTTCTGTTAAACAGGAAGATGTAGACTAATATCCTCTGTGGTATTTTGATCTGCCTCACCTAAGGCTGACTTTATTAACCCTGCTCTCAAAACACACAAAATAGGTTGCAAATAAACAATCTAGGCACTTCCAGGAAGCTGCTGTTGACAGTGGTTCTTGGCTCACTTACAAAAAACCCTCTTGAATGTTTTGTTCTTAGTCCTGACTAATGTTTAGAGTTAAATATAATGGCGAAACAATGAAAGAAAATTTATTCATATTTTTCACTGGTGTTATGCTACAGCATCAGTTGTATTAAACATGACTTGCAAATAACTTTTATGAGTGGGTTGGAGGACTATAGTTGTGTGACACTGCATTCTGCAGCACTTCTGGGTGGCAAAATAAAGTAGCCTGTTGTCTACAGTTACACCACGAGATCCTTTACCAGCTAAACCATGTCTGAAATGTACAATATCTCTCTAGAGTGATCTGGCACTTGTAAACATTCTTCCTTGACCCTTGAAAAGAAGTTTTGTTATATGCCTTCCCAAAATAACATTTTCACTTACCTCTTATCTGTGCTGGAGCTTTGTCTTGATATCTTCCAATGAAAACGAGTCAGTGGAAGAAGTGACATCTATCTTTCATTGTGTAGTATTTGGTATTGCTCAGCCCTTTAATTGTACTGTGGAGTTCAGCTAAAATAAGTGTTTCTGCCATTGTAGTTAACATTTGCTATTGTTGCTCCCAGTTGGAGCTGATGAGCTCTTAGTGTTTTTCTCAGAGGTTAAAGAAATTGAGAAGCATCGTTGATGTGATTGGGGTGTTGTGTCAGTTATTATTCTCCTTACCTGATCATTCCACTCTTGTCTCGTGTTCAGATTGCTCTTCGAGATGCACTTCTGAAAAAGAGGAAAAAGCTGCTGAAATAAGAGCTGAGGAGAACTTAATCACCTTTGAAGAAATAGCCCTGGAAATACTTGTTTCCACCCACAACCCCCCTGAGGGCAAGAGGGACTGTGGTGCCTTATGGATTTACCTCTCTTCAGTTCAGAGTTAAAACTGGAGCTCTTGCAAGCTGATGGATTCTGCATCTATAGGACAGATAGAGGCCTTAAACTTGGGAGGGTTTTAATTTTATTTTTAAAGCATTTTGGGGGAGAAGGCGATTTTCTTTCTATTTAATGTAATTAACATACAACCCACTGTAAGTGTAAGTATTAAAATACACAACCTTATTGTTAAAATATTTGACTTGAGGCAATTCTTGAATAAGTAATGGGAAGCAAAGAATATTCTCGTCAGTCTATAAAGCATGTGTAGGTCGTGTCTGTGCATGTCTGAAGGGTGTGGCTGTACAGACTTGAGTAAGGTGTTTGAGCAGCTGTCTTGGACTAATCTAATCAGACCAAATTCTTGTGTAATTCAGGTAAGCTCAAGTAAGATCAGTGTTACTGCAGCTCATGAAGAAAATAAAATTAGTATATGGGAGATGGCTTTCATGTTGCCATCTAAATAGGATGCTACCCTTCTATGCCAGAGAGAAAAAGGAATGTTTTCCTATATTGGTGGGTCTAAGGGAGGGACTGGCTGGTGTCTCTTGGCAAGTACATGTGAGAAAAATGTACATATCTGGATTCTTTATGTGAGGTTTAACTTGCGCTTCAGCACTGACCTCTGCTGGGACCATTAATGGGCTTTGTACCTTCCCCAGCCACCTGTTTTAATGGACTTGATAAATTATAACTTGAGGGATTTATTTATAACATCCTTGGTCAAAATCTGTTTGAAATGGATTTCCTTGTGGGGCAGGAACAGGTGCCACAAGCACAGTGTAATGGAAAAGCATTTGGTGGGGTGCTTTTTTCCTTTATTTTTTTGGTAGCTGGGTTACTGCTTATCTTCTATGTGGGAATTAGTGCAGTTTTGCTATTTTTCATGTTGAATATGTATTTCTATTTACTTTAATTCCTAATTATATTGATTGTGTATATTGTTTTGTCACAATCTTCCTAGACGAAAAAAGCTTACAGAGGTTTCAGGGAGCCAGGAGAGAAGAACCAAGTAGGATTTTCTTACAAATTGCCATTTTGTATTGCAACTGTACGTTACTGCTGAGGGAATGGCAGAAATGGCTACTTGGCAATGACAGCAGTGAGCTGGCCAGGTCAAGGATGTGTAGCCTAGAGCTGGAGAGATGGAAGGGATGCAGAGGACCTGCAGTGGGTGTGGGGATGGAGTGTGGAGAAGGGGCTGAAGAGACAAAGATAAGGGGAAGAGAGGGCAAGTACAGTGTGTTCTTGTATAAAGCCCACTTCTGGCTGTTCTTGTTTCTTTTGTGCTGAAGAACTGAGTGGCTTCCCTTCATGTGGATGTGTTCAAAAATAATGATTTCTGAGGCTGAAAGGGAGAGGGAAGTTTTGCTCTCGGAGTTCAGAACAAGTATTTAGTGTCCTCTCTTCCCTTTTCCCTCTTGTTTACAGCCCTGCTGTGTGACCCGGCAAGCTGAGCTATGCCCAGTTACTGCCAAGTCTGTCTGTCCCCTGCCCTCCTTGTTAAAAGGACTGTGTTGGACTGCCTCTTGTAAACTTTGGCAAGCAGAAGCGCCGGGGAAATGCCCCTGTTCAGCGGTAGCCTGTACCGCTTTCGGTGGTTACTTTGTCACCCTGTGTCGTGCCCGAGGTGCGGGGGTGCCGGCTGCGGGCCGGCCCGGCGGGCACGCCTCGGGGCGGGCGCTGCCGTGTCCCGGCCCTGCCCGGCGGGCGTGGCTGCTGTGGTTGCTGTGGCTGCGGGGAAGGCGGGCTGGCCGCGGGGCCCCGCGCTGTGCTGCGCCATGGGCTGCGGGCCGTGGGCGCTGCTGGCGCTGCTGTGCGGCGTGGCCGCGGCGGTGGCCCCGCTGCGCTGCAACGTGAGCCTGGACAGCCCGGCCGAGCAGCGCTGGCTGCCCGTGCTGAGACACTTCGATCCCGCCTTCCTGCGCGCCGCCGTGGCCCGGGTCATCGAGTGAGTGGCGTACGGGGGGGTGCCCGCATCCCCGGGGAGGTGTCGGGGTGAGCTGCTGGCACCGCTGTCCCTCGCTCGGCTAACGCCTCGGGTGTTTTGCAGCGAGAGCGTCCCGAAATGGGTGCACCAGGTCATCCGGCCCATAGCAGCGGAGCTGGAGCAATTCATGCCGCAGCCCTTCGCGGGGGAGATTGTGGGGCTGTGCCAAGCACTGGGAATCAGTCTGGGAGATGGAATCCTGCTCAACTTCGCCTACGAGTCCACCGCGTAAGTGTGCGGTACTTACAGCGTCTGGTGTGAGCAGGGGTAGAACTTCGGGCAGTTCAGCGTGGGAGGAGGCACAGCAAGGCAGGTCACTTGTGCTCTTCCTTCTCGGACCATGTCGTGTCTTCAGCTGGAAGGCTTCAGTCTCCTTAGGCAGTTTGGATCCTGCATGGAAAGAGAAAGTTGTTTTCTATGGCTTAGTGAAAGTAAAATCTAGCTGTTGTGTTCTTGTATACATACATCTATGTAAGTGGATAAAAATCTGAAAATTTCTGCTAATAAGGTGGATCCCTCCGTTCAAAGTAGTTGGGATGGCTTATCTTTAAAGATCATGTAAGATAGTCTTCTGTCATGTAAAATCACCCAAAAGGCAGCTAGAACAATTAGTTGCCATTTCATTATTTTAACTATTTGTCTGAGATAAAGTTACTCTAAACCACTTTGGGGATGAATGTTCACAATGACTGCATAATGTTGCTCTGTGATTTGCATAATGGAAAATGGCTGAAATATTTATAACAGCAATCAAAACTTCAGCGGAAAAAATAGTTTCATTCTGTTCTTTTGCTTTAGAAGCATGTACAGAAAAATAATGAACAGTTAGGGTTACCTGTGAGCATACTAAAAAGGTTTCTCCATACAGGTTTTACAAAAATTCAGGGTATACAACCACTTCTTTGCATTTTGATTGTTTTGGTTTGGGTTTTTTTTATGTATGATATTCAGTTAGTGATCCTTTTTTTTAGTAAGTGTTAATATTGAACATGATACTTATTTAAATCCTGGCTTTGTTAGTGTTTCACAGAGGATGCTGATCATACTTGGCCCTGGTGAGATCCATGCAACTTTCTGAGCGTGGATTCTAAAAAAAAAAAAAACCCCTCAGCTGGGAACAGCCTAGTTGCATGAGGAATTTTTTTACCTTTATATTTTTGAGACAGGGGTTATGCATCACTGAGAAGAAACTTCTAACTCTTAGAGGAAATAAGTTGTTAATTTCCTGCTAATGGAATATATTCCATAAAAACCCCTGTTTCAATGAAACTGTAAGTGCTACACAAGGAGTTTGAACACACTTCCTGTTCTAGAGATTAGTCTCTCACTGAAATGGCTGATACTTGAACAACTATTTGCATCGGTTTCACTGAAAGGACTTAGTTGGAACTTACCTAGTTATGACTACAAATATAAACATGGTCCAAATTGAAGTGAAATGATCTATCAAAATGAAATGCAGAGAGCAGGACACTTTGTGGGTGTTTTGAGATGTCAGCTTTTCATTGGGATTTAGAAGAGGTAACAACTTTTCCCTGAGTGGAAGTGCTGCTCTCTGCCCGCTCTGTGGTTTCTGACCTGATTTCCTGACTGTAGTGTGTCACTGGACTTTGAGCAAACTCCTATTTGTATGGAAACATTAATAACATACCTAGCAGAACCCAGTTCTTCCTGAAAGGTTGATCTGTTTTGACTACAACACTGTCACAACTCTTTATTCACTGATTTTTGTCTGGTGTGTTTGCAGGTTCTGTACAAGTATTGTTGCTCAGGATGACAAAGGGAACATTTACCACGGTCGGAACCTGGATTATGATTTTGTTGATATATTGAGCAAGATCACAGTTGATGTGCAGTTTATAAAGAGTGGGCAGGTATGGTCTGGGATTGGCTCAGCTGGGTGGTCTGTCCTATAGCTGCTTAGATAGGGGGATTTAATGTAGGAATGTGTTCCCATCCCACATAGACTGGATTGTTAGAGCAGCACAGTTACTCTCCAGGAGTGTGGGATGAACGCAGGTTTTCTTTGCTTTATGGACATCCAGTTTATGGTGATGCATTGGAGAAAATAGAACAGCATAATAAAGATTCTCAAGATTGTTATTTGAAAGGAGGTGTTGAAAGAAAAAATGTCAAGATACTAAGAAAAGTACTACAGAAAACGAGATCAGTTTTGGCAGGGATCAGTTCTAAGGCTTACTTTTTAGACCTTTCTAGTTTTTCAACCAGTGTGTGTGGTTTTGGGTCAAGATTTCAAAAGACGAATTAGTTATTAGTACAGTCTTAGTGTGAATTTGTTCATGTTCATTAGTCCATTTTGCAGATGGAAAACTTGCTGTTTGTTTCTTGCTTGGCTGCTTGCTAATTTGAGCTAAACTCCTGTAGCAGCTGGTGATCACTAACAAATGAAATGCAGTGAATTTGGGGCGTTGGTCTTTTTATAGTTTACTTGGCAAGTTTTACTGTAATTTAAGGCACAGTATTTTATAGCAACTTAAGTATGAAAGTCAGAAAAAGAAGGACAGGGTGCTGCTTCCAAATGTTACTAGTATTTTCAGTCGTGTTCTGTTCTGTTTCCTGGTTTCAGGTAGCGTACCAAGGCACCACATTTCTTGGCTACGTAGGCTTATGGACTGGACAGCGTCCACACAAGTTCACAATCTCTGGGGATGAACGAGGTAAATGAAATGTCTTCTACACTTGACATTATGTGCTCTGTTGTTGCCTGCCCTGGCCCTTCTCCCCCAGAAGGAAAAGTGAGGTTAAAGTTGCCAGGAAGGATCTGAAAGGGAATGACTTGCCTTGCTCTCAGGGAGTCAAAGTGCGCATGCTGCCAGTTTTTGGCTGCTGTGTAGGAGGAGGTGTTTGTTTGTCATCTGAGCTGAAAGTGTCAGAGGACAGGAAGAGCCCTGGGGAGAGCTGTAGAAGGCGAACTGTGGTCTGGTCAAGAGTCACAGCTGGAGGTGGCAGAGTAGGGGCTGACAGAACAAGAAGCAGTTTGGATAGCAAAGAAACAGCTGCTTTCCTGGTTCTGTGACCCTTCTGCTGTATTCCATCATCTGTCATCATAAGGCAGTTGGAAAGAGGACAGGAAGAGAAGTGTAAGACAGATTTAGGGGAAAGGCAGCAGGGTTTGAGAGAATGCAGAGGCACTGGAAAGGCAGCTGAGCAAGATCAGTAATACAGGGAAGTTGAGAGATGTCACTGCTGAGAACTGAAACTTGGAGCAGTGAGGAAGGCAAAGGAAAGGTCACTGCCTCTTCCATCAGTACTTCAGTTTCACAAATATTGGAAGCTGAGTTAACTGAAAGCTGGGGTTGGCATCTTCCATTTTCAAGTTTTGGTTTTGTTTTTTTTTTTTCTTTTTTTGTAAGAAGGTGACACTTTGTTCTTCATTGGCTGATTGTTTGAACTGGCAGCAATGTAGTCTCAGAGCCAACATAGAAAATATTTATTTTTCTCTTATGGTTGTGATAAGCATATTTGGTTTTTTAATCTGTTAATTGGACAACCTGTTTTTGAAATTTTTATATGATATGCCAACAATATTCACTGTATGTGTTACACATATACATTATCTCTGAGTAGGGATTCTGGTATGGAGCACAGGGACCTCTGCATTCTTGAGTCCTTTGTTAATGCAGCCTTGTTGGAGTCACTAAATTCTTTCCATAGCTGGCACACATACTGCTCCTGATATCGGAGTAGTTATTTAATCCTTTCAAAATCGGAGTGTAGTGGGGTCATACTTAGAGATGCAAACCACTTTTAGTTCAGCTTAGAAATAGTCCCAAGTGTATCAAGTCTCTGTAAAGGCCTGATTTAAGAAATCTTGTGGACCAGATCATGTGTGTGGACCATGAAATGTCTGTTCATTCCATGCATGCTGTACTTCTGTAAATTGGTTGATGCTGCTTGCTGATTTATCTGAACTAAAAGGTCTTTTTTTAGTTCACTCCAACTGAACTACAAATTAAGGGAAATAAGCATGTGAACTATGGTTGGGGAGGGTGACTAAATTAGGGTGAAGGTCTATCAGGTGACAAGCATATTGATTCTGGTGGCTGTCCTGTGGTTTTGGTGTATGAAGAATAACAAACTTGCCCTTCTGTTTTTCTTACTTCTCCTAATGTGCTTGGTAACACAAACACTACCACTACTGTTTTTTAGCTGCTTCCTGATTTCTGTTGTGTTATTGCTGTTTAACTATTTCAGTAACATGAATAATTAGGAGATAATTATTACTCATTTCATGACAGGTCTGAGATGCTTTCCGGAAAGCAGGAGTGTTAATCCAGCTGTTGTGGCTGAATGTCAGTTGGGATTAGGTTGTCTATTTATATTCCATCAGGATGTTGTGCTCCTTGTTGGCCTTTCTCCCATAAGATATTAACATCTTGTGCTGATAGGCAGCTGTCCTGTTTCATTGTATATATGTATATTGCATGTATAGTAATTACTTTTTTCTCCCCAGATGGTGGTAGATGGTGGGAAAACGCCATAGCTGCTTTCCTCAATCGGAATTACCCTGTCAGCTGGCTGGTCCGGGATGTAAGTGCACTGGGTTACTTTCTCACATTTCAGTTATGTCAATTGTGCTTAAACTCACAGGGAAATTGCGTCTTCCAACTTTCAGTTGCACAGAAAGCTTACTGGTTTGATAAGTAAATGGATTTCATAAGAGAAGCTAAGTGTTGTCCCTGAATTGTCAGTAAATGAAAGGCAATTCCAGACCTTTAAGGGGGTGATCTCCAATCAGTGCCAGAAGTCCTGGAGAAGCTGTGCCAAGACTTGGTTCCTTGGTTCATCTAGTTGTGACCAGTTAACACAGTTGCACTCTTAGATGTGAATACCTGTCCCAGGGGTTATTTTATACTGTTTGATATGTTACTATACTAATGCTTTTCTCAAGTAGCACTTTAGTAATTGACCATTTCCAGACAGAGTGAACCTTTTTGATTCTGAAGATGTCCCAGTGCTTGTTTCCGTGCCTGACCTCACTGTCATCTCCTTTTTTGCATCAGACCCTGAGCAGAGCAGAGGACTTCCAGTCAGCTGTTCTCAGACTGGCTGGCATTCCCATCATTGCTGAAGTTTACTATATTGTAGGAGGTGTGTCACCCAAAGAAGGCATGGTCATAACAAGGAACAGAAAAGGGCCAGCAGATCTCTGGCCTCTGGATCCTTTAGGTGGAGCGTAAGTAGGAAAAAACTGCTTTGTTCTCTTTTCTTGTATTGCCTCCTGAGTGATAGGTTGGGTTAGTAACAACTTTCTTGAGAGATCCAGGCACCTGGTGGTAATGCTTACAGCTGCACAGGGAAAGCTTGAAACCCTCTGAAAGGAGCCCCAGTTCCTTCTCCTGGAGAAGGAATTGCACCACCTTGTCACT